AAAAAAGCAAAGCATTAACAAAATGATAACAAAATGATAATGATAACAAAAAAAAAAACTAAAAAAGTTAACAAAACAAAAAGATAACAAAACAAAATGATGAAACAAAATTAGATAAAAAAACAAAACAAAAAAAAGATAGCAAAATGATGACAAAAAGTAACAAAAAACTATAACAACAAAAAACCAAAACAAAATCAAAACAAAACAAAAAAGATAACAAAATGAAAATAAAACAAAATAAAAACAATAGCATAACAAAATGATAACAAACAAAACAATAATAAAATAAATAAAATGATAACATAATGATAACAAAAAATGATAATATATTAAATAAAACCGTAATACAACAAAACAAAAGGATAGTATAATAAAATGATAACAACACAAAAGGATAATAAAATAAACAAAGTAATATGTTATCATATTAATAAAAAAATAAAAAAATAATAAAATAAGTCAGTCTCAAGAATTTTTATCAGTGGGAAGTTTAATTTTTTAAAAACAAACTGAATTATTTGTGGTGGATTTTTGTCTACGACTGATCTAAAGATGCTGTTTATCCTTTGGATTAATCCTTCCTAAGTGTAATTAAAAATTGATAATGACATCGATAACACTCGCTGTCCTTATTTAAAGCAATCCACCGCGTTAAAACTCCAGCCCCTGTGGGAACGACATGTCTTTTGTTATGCAGAAGATCAACATAATTATTTAGCCAAGTATAAATTATCTCCCTGACTTTCTCTCACAGGAAATGACAAATTGCTTGGCTCTTTAAGATAAACAGATCACACAAATAAAGGCGCTTGCTGATCTGAGAACAGATTCAATGGCTGTATTGGTGGGTTTCTGTGGCGTAAGCTGGTCTGGGATCAGTGTTTAATGCCAGGTTCAGTGAGCTTCTGAAGTGATGTGTAATCCTCACTGTGGGTTATTTTTAGTGTGATCCTCTCAGGTCCTCATGTGCTGTGTTTGTCCTTCTGATCAATGCGCTATGGATTGAGCTTTCCTTCTGACAGTGAAGAGAATAAAAGAGGCCGAGGCCCGGCTGAGGGTCATGTGTAGATTCGGATTGTGTGTGTGTGTTTGTGTGTGTCTGTATGTGTGTGTGGTCTTGTTAATTGATTATTCATGGTTCTCTCTCATTTCCTGCCACATTGGGGTGGGTTTGTGTGTCTCTCATAGCTGTAGACACTAATGATCAATGTAACACTGAACTGGGCTTCAGATGGGACCAACATATGCTAGAAGGGCTAATGATAGCGTGTCTTATGTGTTGCTGGCAAAGGCCTTATTTTAGGTTGCTGTGTGATGTATACCAAACTATACCAAAAATTATTCAGAAGTGAGAAGGGAAGGAAGAAAGGAAAAAAAGGTAGGAAGGAAGAAAGTAAGGAAGTAAAGTAAAGTGAAGAAAGGGAGGGAGAGAACGAAATGGAAGAATGAATGAAACTGAGGAAATAATCTAATGAATGACATGAATGTAACAAGTATGGAACAGAACATAGGAACGTAACAAAACTAATGAACAGACAGAATGAAGGAACAGAACCAGTAAAGGAACGGAAGAACGAAACGGAATGATGGAACTAATTAAAGGAATGAATCTAACAAACTGAACAAACTGTACAAACAAACTGTACAAACCCAACGAACTGAACGAATCTAATGAACTTAACAAACGAAACAAACCTAATACACTGAACAAATCTAACAAACTGAACAAACCTAACAGATGAAAAAAACCTAACAGACGGAATGAACTGAACAAACCAAACAAATGGACAAACCTAATGAATGGAACGAATGGAACAAACTGAGCAAACCTAACAAACAAAACGATTGTAACAAACTGACCAAACCTAACGACTGGAACGAACCTAATGAACATAACAAACCCAATGAACTGAACAAACCTAATGAACTCAACGAACCTAACAAATAGAACAAATCTAATAAACAGAACGAATGTAACAAACGTAATGAACTGAGTTAACCTAACAAGCGGAACGAAACGAACAAACTAACAAACAGAACAAACCTAATAAATCGAACGAATGTAACAAAGTTAATAAACTAATCTAACGAACAGAATGGAGCGAACTGAACAGACCTAACAAATGGAACATATTCAACAAATGTAACAGACCGAGGGAACTTAACGAACGGAATGAACTTATCAAACTGAACGAACCTAACAAACCTAATGAACCAAACAAATGTAGCAAACGTAATAAACTGAACGAACCTAACAAACGGGATGAGCTGAACAAACCTATAATGAAAGGAAGGAATGTAACAAACTGAGCAAACCGAACAAATGTAACAAACATAATAAACTAATCTAACAAACGGAATGATCTGAAGGAACTGAACAAACCTAACAAATTGAATGAATGGAACAAACGTAATCAACCTAACGAACGGAACAAACTGAAGAAACTAACAAACAGAGCGAACTGAACAAACCTAATCGAATGTAACAAACGTAATAAACTGAAAGAACCCAACAAACTGAGTGAACGGAACAAACTGAACAAACCTTACGAAAGAAATGAACTGAACGAACATTACAAACTGAGCGAGCGAATAAAGCGAATGGAACCAACTGAACAAACTAACGAACCTAACAAACTGAGTGAACCTAATGAACTGAATGAACCTAACGAACTGAACGAACCTAACAAACAAAACAAACTGAAATTGAACGAAGTCATGAACAAACTGAACAAAGGAATGGAACCAAGGAATTAATCAATAAAAGAACAAATTAATCAATAAAAGAACAAACGGAATGAATGAATAGAACAAATGGATAGATTTAAATGAATGAATGAATGTAATGATTGAATGAAAAAATTAATGAATGTTTGAATGAATGAAGTAAAATGCATTATCTGAACACATTCACATTGTACTTGACCACATGTAATTGTGAACGTGTTGTATATCTAGTTGTTTGCTCAGTGGATCAGTTTGATCTTCTTTTCTGAAGGTTAATCAAGTAGAATAGCCTTTAAAATAGTCTGAATACTGAAATGTCTCGTTCCTCTGCTGAAGATCTTTGCACTTCATTACGTCTATTGATGCCAATATATCAGGAAGAGCTGTCTATAGCAGAGATGAATGTGTATCGGCTCATCAGAAAAGCCCCGAGCAAAAGCTAATTAACTCGATTGAATTAATTGTTTAATGAATTAGTGGATTTTTTTTAGCCTGGAGACTTAATTAACCTTGATGTTAATTCCAGGAGTGTTCAGTTGTTGTCTGTTAATGAAAGTGCTTTAACCTTCAACCTGGAAGAAAATGAAGAGTTTCTGCTGTATGATAATGTGGTGAACATCAGGGTTACTGTATGTCTGCAGTCCTGTATTCATCTCAGAATCACTGTACTGTGTGTTTCTTTGGACAACTAATAGCATTTCTGACCTTGCAATCAATTACAATTCCTATATTAATAATAAAAACAAAAAAATTATTGTTGTTGTTAATCATTTGGCAAATGTTTTTATCTAAAGAATCTTGAAATTGAAAATAATAGGCGTACTCAAGAAAAATAAAAACAACTCACTTAATTTGTCCATTAACTTTAGTTTTTCTTAAAAATAAATTAACATATTTTTTTTGTTTAAATTCAAATCTAAATTTAAAGTTTCTACCCCCCAATTCCTCCACATCACAAATTTTGTAATATGTTTTGCAAAAACTCTGACGTTGTTTGAAGATAAAACAGATTCAACTTTTACACACAGAAGTGCTCATTACTGTCAGTTCCATAGCAGTGGACCAATACGAAGAACTGAAGCGGGACTACGACTGCGTGCTTTAGATTATGTTAGCAAGTTGGCATGACAACCGCAACAGGGCATAATCACTTCTGAGCATTGCATCTGTTTAGAAATCACATGTTTAGATGCAAAGCCTCTTTGTGAATGGCTCCTAAGTTGTTGCACTACTGGGGTCTTTTGTGCTTTAACTACAGTGACACACATCAGGACTGACTGTATTCATAGTCGTAGTGCATAAACCAAACCATTTACGCTATTTACAACCCTAATATATATATATATATATATATATATATATATATATATATATATATATATATATATATATATATATATATATATATATATATATATATATATATATATATATATATATATATATATATATATATATATATATATATATATATATATATATATATATATATATATATATATATATATATATATATATATATATATATATATATATATATATATATATATATATATATATATATATATATATATATATATATATATATATATATATATATATATATATATATATATATATATATAT